ATATCGCTCTCCATGAAGGCAATAGCTTCCAGCTCAACAGCTGGCTTCTCAACCCAATGATCATTATTCTCATCTAGCTCAGCAATATCATCTTCCTCATCATCGACCACATCCGTCACTTCGATGCGTGTTTTGGCAAGATCCCCCGATACGACCAGGTGCAACGTGTGCGCCAGTCCATCACAGGCGGTTACTACATTCGATTCATTATCACGCACAAATTTGGCAACCCGAGAGAGATCAAGGCCCCATTTGTGCACAAGCTCACGAATGTTTTGCTACCAATTCTATCCCCACTGTGCTTGCCTCGAAAGCTAACCACCTCCAGCGTATAGCTCCGCAATTCAAAGTCGGCCGTTACAAAATGAATAGTAAGCGACATATAACTATCTGTTGTACATGACGTCCACAAATCCGTGGTGAACGAGTAAAACGCTGCGTGCTCGGCAATATCTTCTTTTACAAGTAACCTCATATATTGAGAGTGACCCTGCATACGCTCCGTAATTGTGCGACGGGAAGGTATCTCGTAAATACCGTTGATGGTTTGAATCAAGGTCTCAAAAAATCGAAGTTCTTTGTCTTCCGCGACGCTCAATGGACGCAGTCGCTTGGCAATCTAGTCAAAAAAGGCTCGTGTAGCCATTTCTTCTTCTGCTCGGTCGACCCGCTTTGTTCGTTTGGTAGGAGAGAAAATCACTGCACCAGATGTCCGCTTACTTGTACCAGCCAGCGCGTTATTAACCCTTCTTGCAGCCTCCGCTTGCCCTATCCTGACAAGCTCTTCTGGGTGATTTTGGTTCATGTGCTTTCGGACGCTAGCACTACTGCCAGCTCTAAAGTTAAACATGATTCTGCATTTCAGGCAATATGCCAGTTCTGCATCCTATAATGCTCACTTTGCTTTCCCAGCGGGCAACTGAGCACTTGGAGCCACGAGCATTATAAACGTCCAGTACTCTTCCTTGTGTACGCGAGGCATCTTGAAAAGAGGAGGGGGGGCGACGGAGAAGGCGGGGTTGACGGTGTGTTATCTTCCATGGTGACACACTCAGCAACACAGCGTACGGATAACACTTGACGACAGATTGAAGTCGTGTTCACCAGCACTGGAACGTAGAAATTCTCTCGTAGTAGGATGTCTTGACAGTACGCTCTCGAGCCCTAGATCAGATAGAGAAACTGCGATCGACGCGGCGGAGGAGATGAGATTCGCCCAGGACGGTGAACTCGACGAAAGCACTGTTCACAGTGTCGTACAGGCTGCTGAAATTGAGTACTGAAGTCAGAAGGAGTACTTGTACGCAATACTTCAAGTGGCGGCATCAAACACTCGCCTCGTGTCCGTCAGCCGCTGGCTTTTGTTTTAATCAAAACGAAGGTATTTGTTTAAATCACGTGATGATGTCTTGATAACGTTAACTTCACGTAAGGGGTATCGGACCGGACCTATTTACATTTTTTACGTCCCCATCACTAACCGGTATGCATCGGTCAAGACAAGACAAGACGTATACAGTATGCTGACATCAGCTACGTAATACAGTTCCCTACTGATTATCAGTAGTCGAGCATGATTCGTACAGTACTTTACTGACCTCTTAAATCTTATAAGACTAACAGAATGTCAGATTACTAAAACCAATAGTCGATACTGAAATAACTATTAGTCTAAATAGTACTGTATAGTAATATATACTAAGCGCTAAAAGGAATAAGTCAGGCTTACTCACCCAATAGCGATCACGCGGGCCCAAAGGAAGTATTATCTCAAAAATCGTGAGAGGGGATTAGAAAATCAAAGGAAGTACAGTACTACATACCGTTTTCGCGCCCTTGGACCTTTCATAAATTTCCGAATGTGATGATCCTGAATCCAAATCAGCAACCATTCGTATGCTAGAGTCTGATTTATTTGCAAATCCTATATGGTCCACCCCGGCGAAAACAGGGTGCAGAACTGTACGATAACGAACATCGGGAAAAAACAAGCACTTATTAAGAATGGTACCAAATCAGTGATCTAAAAAAATTGAATTTGAAGTAAGTTAAAAAAATTTATAGTAAGTAATCTGATACATGATCTTGTTTATATAGTAAGGTTTTCTGGAACTATATTGCCGACGATATAAAGCGATCATGTTTGTCTATGTAGCTTGAAGGAACTAAGGGGCTACGCCTTAGGCCTGTTAAATGAGGTTAAGCTACTGCGTGAAGGTACGTGGACACACTGGTAAAATGGTGTATATAGGAAGCCAAACCCATCCCTTGGAAACCGCGGTGGAGCGAGACCGCGGTAATTTATTTTTAGTTTTCTGCCACAGCAGCATTTTGCTCCCGCGATGGAGACGCCCTAAATGATATATTTTGAAACACCTATTTTGAATTGAGCCTTTTTGTTTTGATAATCCGCTGAGCTAATATATTACCAGGTTTTATTTCAGGATGCTAGCTCTGATATAAATTTCAGGGAGTTGTACGTCCAAGTGCCTTTCGCAAATACTCTTGAATGAACCCAGCCTATGCTTTCATTGCGTTGGACACTTGCACCCGCACTCGGCCAATGACATCGGCTGTCTTATGTCGATTGGTTCATGACACGATATGACTATTTAGTGTAATCAATGGCTATCGTATTACTAAAGCGAAGGTTACCTTTTTCCGTTTAATAAAAAAACCACATCTTATCACGACATAAAGGTATTGTACATCAGTACTATACCTTTATAGAAATAAAACATTCCTGTTTAGAAGATCAAAGCTTCAACCACAGTCTTTGCCATAACCCAATCAGAGTCATGATGGAGCTCCGAGCACGCGCTCGAGGCTCTACCTCCTGGCTCCACCGACCCCTCTGCAAACCCACATCGCCCCCGCTTCTCCTGGTCCGTCTTCTGGTCGTACACTGGCCCCGGTCGGCTCATGAGCATGGCCTACTTGGACCCTGGAAACCTCGAAGCAGATCTACAAAGTGGGGCCTACACACGCTACCAACTGCTCTACGTCGTTCTACTCAGCACCATGTTCGGAGGCCTCTACCAGATCTTAGCTGCCAGATTGGGGGCCTGTACCGGTCGTCACTTGGCTCAATTATGTCGCTCCGAGTATCCACCACTCGTCTCTTTCGGACTCTGGATCATGACGGAGCTCGCCATCATCGGCAGCGACATCCAGGAGGTTCTGGGATCGGCTGTAGCCTTCAAGCTTCTATTTGGGTTACCTCTATGGCTCGGTTGTCTGCTTACAGGACTCGATACCTTCACATTCCTGGCCCTACAACGAGCGGGAGACTTTAAAACTCGATATCTCGAGATGTTCTTCTTGCTGCTCATCGCCACCATGTGCGTCTGCTTCTTCGCCGACTTCACCATGAGTGATCCAGACGGAATAGAGATTATTAATGGGATAGTAGAGCCCAGAATGGACAAACAGAACACCATGCAGGCGGTAGCGATGCTGGGGGCCATCATCATGCCACATAATATTTTTCTTCACTCAGCATTGGTCCAAGAGAGGACAACTAATACGAGATCTCCGACAAAAGTAAAGGAAGCCAACTAATATTTCGGATTGGAAGCAGCATGGCGCTGTTCGTCAGCTTCTTAATCAACGCGGCGGTGGTTTGTGCCTTTGCCAGCAGCTTCTTCAGCCGCCAGTGTTATGCGCTCAGTAGTAATCCTATTTCGAGTTTGTATGGGAGAGATATCCAGACGTCGTGTATTCCAGCAAAGGCAGCGTTGAGCTCGGGGAGTACGATTTACGATGCTTTTACGGGCAATATCTGTGTCTTTGGTGGCGAGAGTGTGTTTAATGAGGATATGACCGCGGACATTATCAATACAGTGACAACATGCACACCGTGTTACGTGGATGGACGTGGAGATAGGTTTGATACGGTATCGTTTGGGCTGGGGCCGACAGCTGGATATCGCCAAGAGATTGGTCTAGCACAGGCTGGCGAGGCAGTACGTGAAGCACTTGGTGGGTATGCGAAGGTAGTGTGGGCCATTGGCTTACTTGCGTCAGGTCAGGCTTCGACCATGACTGATACTTACGCTGGCCAGTTCGTCATGGAGGGATTTTTGGAAATCCGGATTGCAGCTTGGAAGCGTGTGGCGCTTACGCGAGGAGTGGCATTGATCCCAGCGATTCTCGTGGCGCTTATCAGTCAAGATCGACAATTCCAGAGCGACCGCTTTAACGAGCTCCTTAATGTACTCCAGAGTGTTCAGTTGCTTTTCGCACTTCTGCCGTTGCTCGCATTTACCACAAGCACGAGGCTGATGGGGCCACTTTTTGTAAATAATAGGTGGATTGGAGCTCTACTCGTCGTGGGCACGGCGTTGCTTTGTGGCGTGAATTACACGCTCGTCTACGATATTCTCATCAAGAACCTCCCGGAAAAGTTATCAACGGCAGCTTGGATTGGTCTGGTCGTCGTGGCTGGGTTATATATGACGCTGCTGCTGTACTTGCTGCTAGTATACCCGTCCGAAACAGTCCCATCACACTATGTCGTCATTCCGTCTGCAGTGGACTCTGAAGGCTTATCTGAAGAGAATTGCAAGTCTACAGATATTGCTGAGGAACGCGTACCGGAGGATGAAGGTGTCGTATGATGCAAGGACAGCGAAGCTGATGATACGGTTAATAATAAAATATCATCTTGAAAGTAAAATTCTCGTTGATGGTTTCCCCCTTAAGTAATCTAGTCTCGATCACGTACAAGCGCTAGACCTCGAGCTCGCAGCTCTTGCTCCCATCTACATATTGCAACATAACAGTAAGCAAAATACATTTAAAAAATACTGATACGTACTCTTGGTAGCACGTTTCATAGTACTTTTGGAGTCGCGCTTGTCGGATCTTGAGTACCTCTTTGTCCAACAACTCTCGCTCTTCATCAAGACTACAATGCAAAAATGGATTAAGGGCCATACCAAGCTAAACAGTCTCGGCAGACATTCATGTGTTATCCACGAACCGTTTGTTCTGCTGGGAACGAGCACCACTGCCCGATAGGCGATTTTGCTTTTCTTCCCAAAGAGCTCTACTTGCATTAGTGTCGTTGTTATAGGTGTATTTCCGTGCCTGGTGCAGCTCTTCCTCGCGAGCGATAAAGCGTGTGACGTTCAGTCCCGACGGCTTCTTCACTGCATGGGGTCGGTCGATCGCTCGAGATGGAATTCCGGCAGGACGGTTGCGGTCCACGGGCATGACTCCTCTTCAATAGTTGCTAATTTTTAGTGTTGTGTCTGTCGGCGCGGCATTACCAAAAATAGCATCTACTTTAGAAGGTTCAGATTTAAGTTACATTTTGGTGAAACACTAAAGTTCTGGATTTTTATTGAGAACGATGCTCACCAGGTCATTCGCTACGTATTTGGATACCATTCACTTGTCTCCAGCTTGAGGCTAGTACTTGCTGCTGCTGAATGGGCAAGTGAACTTCATTGGTGTCTTACCGATTACACTTTTATTTGTCACCATCAAAAACGACCCTTATCAATAACGCGACACTGATGCGAAGTGGCGACCGAAGCTTTCAACAAGACAATGTGTTGAAGACAGTCATAAATACGAAGAACCATGTGAGTAAAAATGATTATGTTGCTAGGGTGGTAGATCTACTTATTCACAGAGCCCAACGAAGCTCTACTTGGAATGCTCTGCGAAATACATGTAGTAGTGAAGTTGCAATAAGAGTTTCTACAAGCTTCGTATTTGTGAAGTGCGTATAAAATTAAAGTAGTACACAGCTTGTCTCTGTATCAACGCACCATGCTCTTCATTGGTGCCCCGTTAGTGATTCTACATTTACAGTGCTATTTCTTACTACAGTACATGTATTACTATTAAAGTTCTACTGTGGTACTCGATTTTTTCGGCGCAAAGTCATCAAGTGTATCGAGTAAAGCATGCAGGGTTAGTCGGTTCCGTAAATCTCATTCAAATTCTGCTCAGCGCATGGTATCGTCGATCACTGCTCATGTCTAAGTGTCATAGAGTGGAATAATACGTCCTTAAATGTTTCGTACTTAATGTTGTTTTTAGGACAAAAAGTAACAGCTACAGGACGTATTATTCCATATTATACCGCCGTCCCGGCTAATCCGCTCTACTGTAGCCGAATGCTGGGGGTTTTGCGGAAGTTGTGGTGTATGACGTGTCATACTCCTGAAGTGTGAAGTGTCACACTTCATGTAACCAGGGTACACTTAGGGCTACGTACCCCGTTACTTAGGTTCGGTTTACCGACCAATCAGAATGAAGAGGTGTTCGTCACAAACTC